CTCTGATATTCCTTGAAAAAACATTCTTTAAAAAATCCACGCCTCTGATATTCCTTGAAAAAATATTCTTTAAAAAATCCACGCCTCTGATATTCCTTGAAAAAACATTCTTTAAAAAATCCACGCCTCTGATATTCCTTGAAAAAATATTCTTTAAAAAATCCACGCCTCTGATATTCCTTGAAAAAATATTGTTTAAAAAATCCACGCCTCTGATATTCCTTGAAAAAATATTCTTTAAAAAATCCACGCCTCTGATATTCCTTGAAAAAATATTCTTTAAAAAATCCACGCCTCTGATATTCCTTGAAAAATATTCTTTAAAAAATCCACGCCTCTGATATTCCTTGAAAAAATATTCTTTAAAAAATCCACGCCTGTGATATTCCTTGAAAAAATATTCTTTAAAAAATCCACGCCTCTGATATTCCTTGAAAAAATATTCTTTAAAAAATCCACGCCTGTGATATTCCTTGAAAAAATATTGTTTAAAAAATCCACGCCTCTGATATTCCTTGAAAAAATATTCTTTAAAAAATCCACGCCTGTGATATTCCTTGAAAAAATATTGTTTAAAAAATCCACGCCTCTGATATTCCTTGAAAAAATATTCTTTAAAAAATCCACGCCTATGATATTCCTTGAAAAAATATTGTTTAAAAAATCCACGCCTCTGATATTCCTTAAAAAAATATTGTTTAAAAAATCCACGCCTATGATATTCCTTAAAAAAATATTGTTTAAAAAATCCACGCCTCTGATATTCCTTAAAAAAATATTGTTTAAAAAATCCACGCCTATGATATTCCTTAAAAAAATATTCTTTAAAAAATCCACGCCTATGATATTCCTTGAAAAAATATTGTTTAAAAAATCCACGCCTCTGATATTCCTTGAAAAAATATTGTTTAAAAAATCCACGCCTCTGATATTCCTTGAAAAATATTCTTTAAAAAATACACGCCTCTGATATTCCTTGAAAAAATATTCTTTAAAAAATCCACGCCTCTGATATTCCTTGAAAAAATATTCTTTAAAAAATCCACGCCTCTGATATTCCTTGAAAAAATATTCTTTAAAAAATCCACGCCTATGATATTCCTTGAAAAAATATTGTTTAAAAAATCCACGCCTCTGATATTCCTTGAAAAAATATTGTTTAAAAAATCCACGCCTCTGATATTCCTTGAAAAAATATTGTTTAAAAAATCCACGCCTCTGATATTCCTTGAAAAAATATTCTTTAAAAAATCCACGCCTCTGATATTCCTTGAAAAAATATTCTTTAAAAAATCCACGCCTATGATATTCCTTGAAAAAATATTGTTTAAAAAATCCACGCCTCTGATATTCCTTGAAAAAATATTGTTTAAAAAATCCACGCCTCTGATATTCCTTGAAAAATATTCTTTAAAAAATACACGCCTCTGATATTCCTTGAAAAAATATTCTTTAAAAAATCCACGCCTGTGATATTCCTTGAAAAAATATTCTTTAAAAAATCCACGCCTGTGATATTCCTTGAAAAAATATTCTTTAAAAAATCCACGCCTATGATATTCCTTGAAAAAATATTGTTTAAAAAATCCACGCCTCTGATATTCCTTGAAAAAATATTGTTTAAAAAATCCACGCCTCTGATATTCCTTAAAAAATCCACGGCTCTGATATTCCTTGAAAAAATATTGTTTAAAAAATCCACGCCTCTGATATTCCTTAAAAAAATATTCTTTAAAAAATCCACGCCTCTGATATTCCTTGAAAAAATATTGTTTAAAAAATCCACGCCTCTGATATTCCTTGAAAAAATATTGTTTAAAAAATCCACGCCTCTGATATTCCTTGAAAATATATTCTTTAAAAAATACACGCTTTCTGATAGACCCCAAAAAAATATTCTTTAAAAAATACACGCCTGTGATATTCCTTGAAAAAATATTCTTTAAAAAATCCACGCCTCTGATATTCCTTGAAAAAATATTCTTTAACAAATCCACGCCTATGATATTCCTTGAAAAAATATTGTTTAAAAAATCCACGCCTCTGATATTCCTTGAAAAAATATTCTTTAAAAAATCCACGGCTCTGATATTCCTTAAAAAAATATTCTTTAAAAAATCCACGGCTCTGATATTCCTTGAAAAAATATTCTTAAAAAAATCCACGCCTCTGATATTCCTTAAAAAAATATTCTTTAAAAAATCCACGCCTGATATTCCTTAAAAAAATATTCTTTAAAATATCCACGCCTATGATATTCCTTGAAAAAATATTGTTTAAAAAATCCACGCCTCTGATATTCCTTGAAAAAATATTGTTTAAAAAATCCACGCCTCTGATATTCCTTGAAAAATATTCTTTAAAAAATACACGCCTCTGATATTCCTTGAAAAAATATTCTTTAAAAAATCCACGCCTGTGATATTCCTTGAAAAAATATTCTTTAAAAAATCCACGCCTGTGATATTCCTTGAAAAAATATTCTTTAAAAAATCCACGCCTATGATATTCCTTGAAAAAATATTGTTTAAAAAATCCACGCCTCTGATATTCCTTGAAAAAATATTGTTTAAAAAATCCACGCCTCTGATATTCCTTAAAAAATCCACGGCTCTGATATTCCTTGAAAAAATATTGTTTAAAAAATCCACGCCTCTGATATTCCTTAAAAAAATATTGTTTAAAAAATCCACGCCTATGATATTCCTTAAAAAAATATTCTTTAAAAAATCCACGCCTATGATATTCCTTGAAAAAATATTGTTTAAAAAATCCACGCCTCTGATATTCCTTGAAAAAATATTGTTTAAAAAATCCACGCCTCTGATATTCCTTGAAAAAATATTCTTTAAAAAATCCACGCCTCTGATATTCCTTGAAAAAATATTCTTTAAAAACTCCACGCCTGTGATATTCCTTGAAAAAATATTCTTTAAAAAATCCACGCCTCTGATATTCCTTGAAAAAATATTCTTTAAAAAATACACGCCTCTGATATTCCTTGAAAAAATATTCTTTAAAAAATACACGCCTCTGATATTCCTTGAAAAAATATTCTTTAAAAGATCCACGCCTCTGATATTCCTTGAAAAAATATTCTTTAAAATATCCACGCCTTGTTGGTAGTACTCTGATAGTCCTTGAAAAAATATAATTTAAAAATTTAATTATTTTTTTATTTCCAGGCCGTCCAAGAAGCAGCCGAGGGTGGTTTGTTAATAGAAGCCGATAAAGACTTTCCCGAACCCTATGAACGTTGGAGCATTATGCAGGCGGTATTCTTTTCATCGACGGTCCTTACGACAATAGGTTATGGCAATATCGTGCCCGTTACAATCGGGGGCAGAGCATTTTGTATATGCTTCGCATTAATAGGCATTCCTTTTACGCTGACGGTAATAGCGGATTGGGGACGTTTATTTGCGACAGCTGTATCGGTATTGGGCCGGCATATGCCAAGTAAGTGAAGTCAGCCTTTAAAGAGATTAAAAAATCTAAATTTAAAAATTTCCCCTTTCTTTGTTTTCACCCTTTGTAGAGACACCCAAAGTTACCAATTTCATTGGTAAGACCTGGTTTTATGCTCTGTCAGCGGTGCTGTTTCTCTGTGTCTATTTGGCCATTGGAGCGGGTCTGCTGCTGCTGTGGGAGGATGATTGGACATTTTTTGATGGTTTCTATTTTTGTTTCATCACCATGACAACAATAGGTTTCGGTGATTTAGTACCAAGTAAGTGCGGGATTTTTTGTGATCATATGTAATAATTACGTTTCGCATATCCTTGAATGTCCTGTTATATTTATATCCTTCCCGTTTTTCCCCTCTCCACAGAGAAACCCAATTATATGCTGCTGTGCACATTATATATTTTAATTGGTTTGGCATTAACCTCTACCATTATTGAATTGGTAAGACGTCAGTATGCCACCAGTTGGGCCAAGTTGCAAGTAAGTGTTATGTTTTATTGTTGTTGGTTTTTTTATTTTCTCTTTGGCTATTCGACACCCAACTTCAAATGAAGATTAATGAACTGTTGTTTTTACTTTTTAATTTAATTTTTTTTATTTTTATTTTCTAGGAACTTTCCGGTCCCATGGCAGAAACACTGAGACGTTTAGGCGAGTCAGCCGGCACTGGCCTAGATTATGCGGCATTACAAAAAGTCTTAACGGTATGTAGGCTATAAATATCCCCGTTTTTTTGTTGGGTTGCTTTGCGGAATTGTTGCTGCAAGGATGCTGAGATAAAATGTTTTTAGCTTTAGTTCTCTTTTTTTTCGAAAGTGTAAAGTGGGTCAATTTGTTTTGATGTGCAAGCTAAAACAATACGTTGGCAAACTTTAAATGCCCATTAAATATTAGGGGGATAATTTAAAACAGAACAATATTATGGTCCTTTAAATCCTTCGAAAAATATTCTTTAAAAAATCCACGCCTTTGGCCCTTATAATCCTTGGAAAAATATTCTTTAAAAAATCCACGCCTTTGGCCCTTATAATCCTTGGAAAAACATTCTTTAAAAAATCCACGCCTTTGGCCCTTATAATCCTTGGAAAAATATTCTTTAAAAAATCCACGCCTTTGGCCCTTATAATCCTTGGAAAAATATTCTTTAAAAAATCCACGCCTTTGGCCCTTATAATCCTTGGAAAAATATACTTTAAAAAATCCACGCCTTTGGCCCTTATAATCCTTGGAAAAATATTCTTTAAAAAATCCACGCCTTTGGCCCTTATAATCCTTGGAAAATATTCTTTAAAAAATCCACACCTCTGAGCCCTAGAATCCTTCGAAAAATATTCTTTAAAAAATCCACACCTCTGAGCCCTAGAATCTTTCGGTATGTAGGCTATAAATATCCCCGTTTTTTTTTGTTGGGTTGCTTTGCGGAATTGTTGCTGCAAGGATGCTGAGATAAAATGTTTTTGGCTTTAGTTCTCTTTTTTTTCGAAAGTGTAAAGTGGGTCAATTTGTTTTGATGTGCAAGCTAAAACAATACGTTGGCAAACTTTAAATGCCCATTAAATATTAGGGGGATAATTTAAAACAGAACAATATTATGGTCCTTTAAATCCTTCGAAAAATATTCTTTAAAAAATCCACGCCTTTGGCCCTTTAAATCCTTCGAAAAATATTCTTTAAAAAATCCACGCCTTTGGCCCTTTAAATCCTTCGAAAAATATTCTTTAAAAAATCCACGCCTTTGGCCCTTTAAATCCTTCGAAAAATATTCTTTAAAAAATCCACGCCTTTGGCCCTTTAAATCCTTCGAAAAATATTCTTTAAAAAATCCACGCCTTTGGCCCTTTAAATCCTTCGAAAAATATTCTTTAAAAAATCCACGCCATTGGCCCTTTAAATCCTTCGAAAAATATTCTTTAAAAAATCCACGCCTTTGGCCCTTTAAATCCTTCGAAAAATATTCTTTAAAAAATCCACGCCTTTGGCCCTTATAATCCTTGGAAAAATATTCTTTAAAAAATCCACGCCTTTGGCCCTTATAATCCTTGGAAAAATATTCTTTAAAAAATCCACGCCTTTGGCCCTTATAATCCTTGGAAAAATATACTTTAAAAAATCCACGCCTTTGGCCCTTATAATCCTTGGAAAAATATTCTTTAAAAAATCCACGCCTTTGGCCCTTATAATCCTTGGAAAAATATACTTTAAAAAATCCACGCCTTTGGCCCTTATAATCCTTGGAAAAATATTCTTTAAAAAATCCACGCCTTTGGCCCTTATAATCCTTGGAAAAATATTCTTTAAAAAATCCACTCCTTTGGCCCTTATAATCCTTGGAAAAATATTCTTTAAAAAATCCACGCCTTTGGCCCTTATAATCCTTGGAAAAATATTCTTTAAAAAATCCACACATCTGAGCCCTAGAATCCTTCGAAAAATATTCTTTAAAAAATCCACACCACTGAGCCCTAGAATCTTTCGGTATGTAGGCTATAAATATCCCCGTTTTTTTGTTGGGTTGCTTTGCGGAATTGTTGCTGCAAGGATGCTGAGATAAAATGTTTTTGGCTTTAGTTCTCTTTTTTTTCGAAAGTGTAAAGTGGGTCAATTTGTTTTGATGTGCAAGCTAAAACAATACGTTGGCAAACTTTAAATGCCCATTAAATATTAGGGGGATAATTTAAAACAGAACAATATTATGGTCCTTTAAATCCTTCGAAAAATATTCTTTAAAAAATCCACGCCTTTGGCCCTTATAATCCTCGGAAAAATATTCTTTAAAAAATCCACGCCTTTGGCCCTTATAATCCTCGGAAAAATATTCTTTAAAAAATCCACGCCTTTGGCCCTTATAATCCTTGGAAAAATATTCTTTAAAAAATCCACGCCTTTGGCCCTTATAATCCTTGGAAAAATATTCTTTAAAAAATCCACGCCTTTGGCCCTTATAATCCTTGGAAAAATAATCTTTAAAAAATCCACGCCTGGAGGTCTGATTGTCCTCGAAAAATAATCTTTAAAAAATCCACGCCTGGAGGTCTGATTGTCCTCGAAAAATAATCTTTAAAAAATCCACGCCTTTGGCCCTTATAATCCTTGGCAAAATAATCTTTAAAAAATCCACGCCTTTGGCCCTTATAATCCTTGGAAAAATATTCTTTAAAAAATCCACGCCTTTGGCCCTTATAATCCTTGGAAAAATATTCTTTAAAAAATCCACACTTCTGAGCCCTAGAATCCTTCGAAAAATATTCTTTAAAAAATCCACACCTCTGAGCCCTAGAATCATTCGAAAAATATTCTTTAAAAAATCCACACCTCTGAGCCCTAGAATCCTTCGAAAAATATTCTTTAAAAAATCCACGCCTTTGAGCCCTAGAATCTTTCGAAAAATATTCTTTAAAAAATCCACGCCTTTGAGCCCTAGAATCTTTCGAAAAATATTCTTTAAAAAATCCACGCCCTTGAACCCTAGAATCCTTCGAAAAATATTCTTTACAAAATCCACGCCTTTGAGCCCTAGAATCTTTCGAAAAATATTCTTTAAAAAATCCACGCCTTTGGGCCTTAGAATCCTTCAAAAAATATTCTTTAAAAAATCCACGCCTTTGAGCCGTAGAATACTTCGAAAAATATTCTTTAAAATATCCACGCCTTTGAGCCCTAGAATCCTTCGAAAAATATTCTTTAAAAAATCCACGCCTTTGAGCCCTAGAATCCTTCGAAAAATATTCTTTAAAAAATCCACGCCTTTGAGCCCTAGAATCCTTCGAAAAATATTCTTTAAAAAATCCACGCCTTTGAGCCCTAGAATCCTTCGAAAAATATTCTTTAAAAAATCCACGCCTTTGAGCCCTAGAATCCTTCGAAAAATATTCTTTACAAAATCCACGCCTTTGAGCCCTAGATCCTTCGAAAAATATTCTTTAAAAAATCCACACTTCTGAGCCCTAGAATCCTTCGAAAAATATTCTTTAAAAAATCCACACCTCTGAGCCCTAGAATCTTTCGAAAAATATTCTTTAAAAAATCCACGCCCTTGAACCCTAGAATCCTTCGAAAAATATTCTTTAAAAAATCCACGCCTTTGAGCCCTAGAATCCTTCGAAAAATATTCTTTAAAAAATCCACGCCTTTGAGCCCTAGAATCCTTCGAAAAATATTCTTTAAAAAATCCACGCCTTTGAGCCCTAGAATCCTTCGAAAAATATTCTTTAAAAAATCCACGCCTTTGAGCCCTAGAATCCTTCGAAAAATATTCTTTACAAAATCCACGCCTTTGAGCCCTAGATCCTTCGAAAAATATTCTTTAAAAAATCCACACTTCTGAGCCCTAGAATCCTTCGAAAAATATTCTTTAAAAAATCCACACCTCTGAGCCCTAGAATCCTTCGAAAAATATTCTTTAAAAAATCCACGCCTCTGAGCCCTAGAATCCTTCGAAAAATATTCTTTAAAAAATCCACGCCATTGAGCCCTAGAATCCTACGAAAAATATTCTTTAAAAAATCCACACCTCTGAGCCCTAGAATCCTTCGAAAAATATTCTTTAAAAAATCCACACCTCTGAGCCCTAGAATCCTTCGAAAAATATTCTTTAAAAAATCCACGCCTTTGAGCCCTAGAATCCTTCGAAAAATATTCTTTAAAAAATCCACGCCTTTGAGCCCTAGAATCCTTCGAAAAATATTCATTCAAAAATCCACGCCTTTGAGCCTTAAAATCCTTCGAAAAATAATCTTAAAAAATTATGTCTTTGAGCCCTAGAATCCTTCGAAAAATATTCTTTAAAAAATCCAAGACTTTGGGCCTGATTAGCTCTTGAAAAATATTCTTTGGGCCTGATTAGCTTTTGAAAAATATTCTTTAAAAAATCCACGCCTTTGGGCCTGATAATCTTTTGGACAAATATTCTTTAAAATAATCCAAAACAAAATCCTGATAATCCCTAATACCAATTCTACTAATTCCTTCTTTTATTGTTGTTTTGTTTTTTCTTTCTAGGTCTCCATGCCCAAATGGAATATGTCACGCAAAGATCCCAATAATGCGGATATCGCAGCACTGGAAGCCATTACCAATGCCATTCTCAAGGAAGTGAAAGAGGCACAGAATAATAAACCGAAAGTTTTACAAATTGTCATATATGAGTCGTCGGTGTAGTTGAAATATTTCAAAATATTCTGTAGGTTTTAAAACATATAAATCAATATATAAATAATTAAAAAAATAATATAATTAATTTAAAATTAATTTTAATGTAGCTAAAATTATTATTAACATTTAAGTAGTTAGTTAATAATTGTCTCTTAAGTATTTTTGTTATTCATTCGGAATTATTTTCTAAGTAATTATTAAGTTTGTATATTTTTTATAAAATAAAAAAAAAGTTTTAAAGTTAACGCACATTTATGTGTTCAAAAAGGGAAAAATAAAATTAAATTAAAAACGAATATAGTTATTATAGGAATATCGTACTTACCGAAGAATAATTCACGAATAAGTTAATCAATATCTGAAATAAATTAAAAAATAATATCTTTAATAAATCAATTATAGTCCATAAGATAAATTTAATTATGTAGTAATTACATACAGTACGAGGGCAGATCAATAATTTCGTGAAATTTGGAAAACGATTTAAAAAATATGTATATAATCTTTGTTAAAAGTCGAATAAGTCCATCCTTTCTCAAAAATTCAAACACGACTTTGGGTATGCTGCAGCACAGCGCCCTGAGGAAAATTTCGTCGCATTGGGTATTTGGTGCACCATTTAATCGGTCGAAAATATATAGATTTAGATATAAATAAGCATATCTAAATCTGGTGTAGGTTAAAAAAGTTAATTATTTCTTAGTTATGGTTCATCTGACGATGTTCCACGTGGACATAACCCTCGTATAAAACTTCCACCCATTTTTCTAACTGCAATATGGTATTCACCGAGGATAATAATCCCCTTAGATTTATGTTTTGACATATGCGTTTCTTTCTCATTATTATAGGTTATAATGGAAACTGCAGAATCACCTCTAGCTTATTCCCAAAGCGTTGAATGGGTATGAGCAGTAGGGATTAGCTTTTACAAACATTTAAATTGGGTGAACAATCCATAAGGATGCACCCTTTACAAATTTATTTATTTTTTTTTACAAAAAATCTGTAGAGAATCCAATCAAATTTCGAAATGGCGTCCGATATGTCCATGGGGCATATTTTTATTTCTATGGTCCATCTGTTAAAATGGCGCCCAACATGGAAATGCATATTTTTAGATATTTTGATGGCAAATACATCTAATAAAATTTATTCTAAATGGAATATTTATAATGCGACTATTGCGCTCGAAATTTAACAGTTTTGTTGATTTTTTTTTAATGGCGCCCAAGGTGTAATTGTTTTTTTTTTTTAACGAAATTCAATAATTTTTGTTCTTTTAACTAGAAATAAAAATATATCAATTAAAAATTTATAAAATTATTTGCGATGTCCATTTTTCACTTTGGTCCATGTTTTGAAATGGCGCCCAACGTGGAGATACATATGTCCAAGATATTTTCATGGCAAAATGAAACTTATAAGATTTATTGTAGTTGAAAACTGCAAAAGAAGACTTTTGGGTTCGGAATTCAACGGTTTTCTTGATTTTTTTTTAAATGGCGCCCAATGTGGAGTTGGCTTTTTCAAAAATTTTGCTAATTGGACTTAGTGAATATTTTATTATAAAATCATTTGCGAAGCCCATTTTCCACTTTGAGTTATATTTTAAAATGGCGCTCAACGTGGAGATGCATATTTCATAGATATTTTGAGGGCAAAATGTAACTAATACGATTTATTCCAGTTGTAATCTGTACAAGATTACTTTTGGGCTCGAATTTCAACAGTTTTCTTGAATTATTGAAATGGAGCCCAAGGTGGAGTTGCAACAATTTTGGAATCTATTTGGAATCTGGATAAGATGACTTTTGGCTCGAAATTCAACGGTTTTCTTGAATTTTTGGAAATGGAGCCCAATGTGGAGTTGTTTTTATTCAAAAATGTTGATAAGGAAATTTATTACTTATTATTCTATTAACTGGAAATTTAGATAGATCAATTAAAAATTTATAATTTTTAACTGGCGCCCAATGTGAAGGTGGGAAGTGTTGAAGCTGGGGAAGAAAGGTTGTTTCGAAAAGAACTCTAAAAAATAGCAGATTTTTTTTCTAAATTTGAAAACAAATGAAATTAAACTCTGACGCAGGTAGAAGGGGTAATATTTGTTTATGTTAAAATTAGATCAGAAAATAAAACGAAGAATTTTTCAAGATAGTTGTTATGGACAATTTAAAGGCTTTACTTCAACATAGAGTTTGGTTCAATATTAAATAGAAAATGCCCTAGAGTTATGTTTTATATTTTGTTAATAAAACATTTATATTTTATTTTTAAATAAAACACTATAGTTAATAATATTTAAATTTGATTATTTTAAATTTTTCATTTATTAATAACTATTTCACAAATTTATAATTTCAGCGGAATGTATTAAACGATATTTACTTTTCTTGATCTACAATACAACAACTCCCTTTTGTTAAAATACATCTTCTTATATTAAAGTAAAAACAATGGAATCAAAGTGAGAGTGGGTGAGGGAACTTTGAAAAGCAAGAGAATATTTATTAAGAGAATACTGAATAATGAGAAAGAAAGAGAATAATTAAGCTAAGAGAGATTCGCAGAATATTAAGTGATAGTGCTACTGGGAGTTATGTTTGGGGAGTAGAAATATGTATAAGGTACTACAATGTAACTCTAGGGCGTATAACTATTGACATAAATTATACGACATTATGGACAATGTGTTGATACTCTCAGCCTTATGGCTAATGAGGGTATATAAAATTCGATAAGGCAAAAATGTGCCTGTTTGAAATATTGGGTTTAGACCCCATGTTTCTTTGGACAAAATGCGTTTGAGACAATTTGCAAATGTCCGTCCGTCTGGTCGCGATAGTTCTCTAAGGGGCTAACCGATTTCAACCAAAATTTGCGTACCGAAATATTTCTTCCATATTTAGTTCATGTTCGAAGTGGGTATTTACTCCTTTTGGTACCTCCCTCGTTTGAGACAATTTGCAAATGTCCGTCCGTCTGGTCGCGATAGTTCTCTAAGGGGCTAACCGATTTCAACCAAAATTTGCGTACCGAAATATTTCTTCCATATTCAGTTCATGTTCGAAAAGGGTATTCACTCCTTTTGGTACCTCCCCACAAAATGGTCAACATTTTGCTAAAAAATGATTTTAAAATATCATGCGAACGGACTATCCGATTTGAGCCAAACATTGTACAACCTATTATCTTTACCAAGCCTAAAGATGGGACCCATTGGTCCACTTCTTCCGTTACCTCCTCCACCTAAGTTAAACCTACTAGAATAACCCATCTTTGATAAAAACCCATACCATATATAAAGCGAATAATACAACCTGTGTATGATTCCGAAGACCTTCGCACACCATACACGGAGGGTATATATCTGTCGGCACCACCGACTGGTACTTTGTATTTGTTTTTTATTAAAATTTGATAAGAAAATAAACTGAAGAATTTTTCAAAAAAAATGTTAAGGGCCATTTAAACTCTTCACGTCAACCTAAGGATATATACAATAAGAATATACCCTTGGGCGTATGACTATTGGCAGCAATTATACGACACCAATAAAAAATAAATATTTCAAAAAATCCATAACTTCTAACCCTTTTTAAAAGAAGATGGCCGTATCTATTCAAACACCTTTTTTATAAGATCCCCCTACGAAGATTTTTCCTTTAACAGTTCCTTTAACTCTTTAATTATACCCTTCACCACACTGTGGTACAGGGTATTATGCCTTCGGGCATATGTCTGTAACAGGCAAAAGGAATCGAGATAAACCTATGGTTCCTTTTGAGAATATGCATAAAATCCTTTTCTCTGTCGATTTACGATTGCTTATCTGTCCGTCCGTCCATGTATTTTTGTGAACAAAGTACAGGTCGCATTTATGATCCGATTTCGATGAAATATATTCGATGCCATATATCACTTATTTGGCCCAAGGACGAACCCTATTGAAGTTCAGATTTAGATATAGGTCTATATTGATATATGCCAAGTTTTGTTGAAATCTGTTCAGATTTAGATATAGCTTCCATATACAGTTTCGTTCGATTTTATGTAAATTGGGCAACATACTGCCAATATTGGTCCGACTGCACAGAGTACTTAATTAGGTCCATATTGTTGTATGCGAAGGTTTTGTGGAAATCGGTTAAGATTTAAATATAGCTCTCATATATAGTTTCGTCCGATTTTATGTAAATGATGCACCATACTGTCAATGTTTTCCGATTGAGGCACAATTTTTGCATACCGTATTGAAGTTACTATGGGTTGTTTTAATTTAGTTCAAATATCTTCACGTTAATTTCGTCCGATTCCATTTCATTGATCCTCCAAAGATGACATGTCTGTTCAATCTAAAGGATATTGTACATATGAGCATCATTGTATGTACCCAAGTGGTGAAGCGCCCGACCGACTTTTAAACTTTCCTTACTGGTTTTTAATGTGTTATTATTTATATACATAGCTATGGACTATGAATTATTGTAAATCCAATCGGCAAATGTGTTTCTTATTTTTAATATGATTTCAACAAGAAAAAACACACATTTTCCAAACAAAAAAAAGAACAACGGTTTCCAGGTGAAACGAAAGAAAGAAAAAAACGTTCGGTTAGAAAACCACCGGTATAGAGTATAACAGACCAGCCTCGTCGACTACATAATAATTAGTTAGTTTTTGCAATGACTAATCTCGTATTAATAATTAATAAGCAAAAATATTTGTGTATAATATGCCTACAAAAACCTGCCTTTGTGTAAGAAACAAAAAAGTAAAATAAATAATTTTTGAAACAAATTAAATAAAATATGATAACAATATATTTAATAGCTTAGCGAAATTAATTGTCTTCACAACACAAATATAAATAAAATAAAACAAAAAATTAGTCTTCGATAAATTATGTAAATAAAGCAAGTATAATTCAATTAAATATAAATATGTACATTATAATAAAATAAATCAATTTTATATGAAATAAAATAACTGCACATTGTCGAAGATATATA